AAAAAGGAAAAAGAATAAAAAAAGGCAAATAATCCGACACAAATAGGCCGGCCCAAATAGGATTTACTACAGTATGGGCTAGTTTGTTTCTTTGGATCGACGGATTAATAGTGGGTCGGCCCGGTCTCACTTAAATAAAGTATTGTGAAGTATTGTGAGTTATTTGTATGTATATGATGATTAATTATTTTTCTTTCACTTTTTTGCATGCCAATATTTACAAATACAGAAGTTGGAATATTTACTTTTTTTTTTTTAAATTGCGTTTATCTGATTGGATGTAATGTATATTTTGGTACGTCTTTTTTTTTGAATTATTTATCATTTATTTAGGAATTTCAAATCCGTTTTTAATTTTTTTTTAAAAAAAATAATTTAAATGTAACCACAATAATAACATCTAATCACATTGTACGATCAACACATTATATAGTCAACTGTCACTAATAAAAAATTTAAAATAATTTATGTATTTTTGAAGTGATTAGTATTGATTATTTAATAATTAAATAAAAGATTAAATACATAAAAAAGTAACGGTTTTTTGAGGGAAAAAGTATTAAATTGCCACATAGGTAAAATTAATTAGGTTTTATTAAATGCTATTGGCTAGTAATTATATATATAGATGATAAATATAATTATATCAATTACAATTTACAAGCACTCTGGACATTTATAATAATATATATATATATACATTTATAAATGACGTATATTATAAAAATTGTAAAATTATATTGGCAAATAAATAAATACATTACAAGTTAATTTAAATGATATATATTACTATTTTAGTAAATTATAATTTTAGTCTTGTATGTTTCACTACTTTAACTTTTTCGTCCTCTTCGAATTGCATTTTTTATTTTCGTCCGTATGTTTTATTTTAAATGATGAAATTGGAACATTTTTTTTGTAAAACTTAAAAGGACATTTTTGGAGCAAGAAGGACATTTTTGTAACCATTTTCCAAACATATGAGACAGAAATAAAAAACACAATTTAAAAAAGACGAAAAAATTAAAGTAGTAGAAACATACAAGACTAAAATTGTAATTTAGTCTTACTATTTTTACCCTTTGGTGGAAAATGGAGATATGTCATGATCTACCACATAAGTTACCGTCGTAGATAGTGTCGGTGCACCAAATACTATTGAACAGAGTTTATATATTCAATTATATGATTTTTAGGAACTACTATTTTATAAATCACAAGCTAATTCTTCAAATATTTTATTTTATCATGATTATTTAAAATAGTGAATTTTTGATTGGTCCCGAATAAAATTATTAGATGAGAATAAATGGCGTTGGATAAATAATTAAATATATTAGTGGAAATAATGAAAATAGTCAAATGAAATGCAGATGCATCCATAATGTAAAAATAAATAATCAGAAGAAAAAAAAAATGAAAATAATACCCATTTAATTAATAAATAAATAACCAACATGAGAAGCCCAAACCAAAGTTAAAGACGACTAGTATTTTGTTTGTCAATTGATGACTGTTTTTGCTATGATGATGTCTCGGTTTTTTTGTGGCTTAAAATAAATTAGCTGTATTGTACGGTTTATTATTTATTTAAACGCGATGAAAGTTCCAAGTGTGACATTCCAAACCACACTTTTTTTTGGGTACAGGGACATTTCGGTTTCCAGATCCACAGGGGAATCGACTAATCCGAAATCGAGTCGGGTAGGACCACAAATGCGGCAAAGCTCCCCCTCAAGAGTTTTAACACTGCTGCATTCCGGATCCACAGGGGAACCACACTTTGTTTTTTAATAGCACGTCACTATGCAATAATTAGAGAGCATATATCTTGTAGTAATTTAAAATTTGCCACCATAATGAAAGCCCACTAAATAATTAATGACCTGCTTATTATATGAAGAAAAAATAGTTAATCTCCTAATATTTTGGTGAACACAGGTCATTAAATTGGATATTATGTAGTCATATCATGTAGTAATTCATTTCATTGTTTATGTATATGACAATAATATCCTTTTTTATTTCAACTTAAAAGCAAAAAGTTATTCTTAATATTGGGGGCAATTAAAATTAAAAGAACATGGGACAAAGATATCAATCCTAACCCATAGGATACAATTATCAAATGGTATGCATGATTTGTATCTTGTCCAACATTTAGTCCCGGCTGAGTAGATCTTGATAAAGAAACATTAGACATAAAAAAAGGATATCTACCTATATATATATCCTATGATAACTAGTAAACAAGGCCTCAAGACTAATTATACCCAATTAAATATATATATATATATATATATATATATATTTTGTTTGTTTGTATGTTTTTGTAGTTTTATAAAAACATTCATTTTAGGTTCAAACAACAGCTAATGAAAGTCCAAAAGTGCAATGTACATAAGTCTTATATGCAAAGATAAAAGATTTTGGCTGCACCATTTAATTTCTTGCAAGGCTGGTAAACTTTAATTATAGGAAAAAGATTACTTTTTTTTTACCTAATAAAGTTTACAAATATTGTTTACTATCATGCCTTCACATGCCTACGTCAAATTTTAAAAGAAAAATAGTGAATACCATCATCTAGAAATTAAAATTATATTTACTGATGTAACAGTATTTTTACTTTCACCATCAATTTTGGTTAATTTAAGTCATAGATAGATATTAATATCAAGTGAAATTAGAAAGATGACAAAAGTAGTGGGTTATTCAATACAATATATATATATATATATATATATGGAAATTATTGCAGTCCCGTTGACGGAATGGTTCCATCAATGTTGGTTACCGTAGATTATCTACACAAGATAATCTTTATGTGTATCCAATGGTGTAAAACACTGACGGTACCATCCCGTAACGGGACCTTAGAATTTTTCTATATATATTTCCTATAAAATAATGGAGCACTAAAAATGGGTGCTTTTTTCCCTGTCATATGGCAATATATCATGGGAGTGTGTTATAAAAACTTCGAGTGAAAGTGACTTTTTTCTCTTCATTTTTTAGATATATGAAAAAATAGAAATCCACAGTTCAATAAATAACATTTGAGATAAATAATGCAAACTAGTTGCCTTGCACAGATGTGTGGTGGTGAGGATAATTAAGTAAATCAAATAATAAATATATATTAGCTGGTGGGCTAACTTCCTTTTTACTACTTACTATGATTTATAGTGTTTATAAAAATAATTAGTAGGTCTATTTTTAATTCTATATATTTTTTTGGTTCTTCTCCTGTTCCAGGGCTTTTTTAGGAGATGAGGACTCCACAGTTCGCTGTCTTTCGGATTCTTATAGCATTGCAAGTCAAGTAAAAGTAGAAATAAACATGGGATTCTTATCCAATACAAAAGGGCTTGTCTGAATCTACTATTTTTGGCACTGTTCTTCTTCTTCTCTCCAGGTATCTCTCTCCCTCCCTTCAAGCGCGCTGACCTTTTTGATATCATGTATGATTTATTTTCTCCCCATTTGATTGTGTGTTAGTGAGGGTGTTTATTTCTATGGTGATCTGCAACTTTGTCTTTTTATACCTGGGCAAAAGGGCTTATGATTAGTTTCAAGTTGAACCCTTTTAGTTGCCCTTAGTCCTTAGATTTTATCAAGAACCTTTCTAGGTTTTTGATTGACAGA